TATGCTTCAAACCATTGTTCTTTTGGAGACCTAGCCGCGGATCTTTATTGTTGGGGAGAAAATCCTTGTTCAAACTTCTGCTGCTACAATAAAGCTGAACCCACTGTACCTTTCAGCCCAGTCAATTAGAGCGCGTTCAGACTTCGCGATCGCGCGATCCGGATCGCGCGATCGCGAAGTCTGAACGCGCTCTTACAGTAGTTTTTTGCCATAGCTTCGAAGACTCATTTGAGTAGGTGAAACTGTTTTTCTATATTTCTTATCACTAGTCTCGATTCCCTTTTAGTATACTGGCAACAATTAAGGTTTCTTCTTGAGTAATACTCTACGGGTTGCTGCAATCAACGCGATCACTAATACGAATTGGGAGAAATTCGTCCGCCGGTTGGGATCCGCCGCAGCAAGTGAACGCCGAAGTGTGGATGAACTTGATCCCGCCTTGGTAAGCTACTTATCTATACAAGGATTCTGAATCGGAAGGAATCGGACCTTAAACAGATCACCCTTTCAGCTGCATGACTACTGCTTGAAGCTCATCGAATGTCTCTTAGCTAGGAATCGCTATCAGGTTAATGATCAAATCCTTTTCATCTCTGTGTTACGCTAATCTGATTCTGCTTATTTATCAAGGATATGTTGATTGTTTGCTGCTATGCTTTCCTACAACCGCGCATAACTCGCTCGGAAAAGTAAGTATGGTTTTTCACATCAATTGTTGCTCGTTTCTTTATAATTGTGAGGCAATAACTTCGAAGTTTTTTATTAGTAATGTTTTTTCAATTCTGTTGCCGTTGCAGGTCTACAACATTCCAAAATCTTTTGTATTTCTGTGCGATAAAAGCTCATTGCTGGCCGGTTGCTTTCGAATATGTCCGATGGTATCATACTTTAACAAACGTTCGTTATTTTGACAACTTACTTTTTTGTTTACCCGCTACCAAGCCAGTCTTGTCCTTCTTCAGACAGCGCATCAACTCACGCTCCCAAATAGTCGGGAAGTCCTGTACAAACGAATATTCAATGCCATGAATTACGTTTTCGTACACTCGCAAAATGTCTCCTATCATCGTTACGTGATGAGATCTCTCTCAAAGGTCAGTTTCACAACAGTAGGTTTTTACCCATTTGGTACCTTATCATCTTGCACTGCAGTCATTGCTGACACGCCTACTTCACTGCTACAGTAGATGTATTTTCAGACAGCAGATAAAGTAGATGTTTATTCAGTGCGTAGTGTTTATGCTTAGCAATGTAGAGTACAAAATGAAGATTATTTTTGTTGTTCTTCAGTCTCCCGGGAACCATGCGCTTCAAGCCATATCTGGGAATAATTCGCTAATTACTGGGTCATATCGTCATGCTCTGGGTTCGTTGAGTTTACTTCATTTCTTTTCTAGAAAGGTGCAAGCTGACGGCAGTAATCATTTCAGGAGAATATTTGCGAGTTTGGAATGAGAATAAGAAGAATCCGATGATTTGTCTCCTTCTCGCCTTGACGTTCACCCACATGGCGTGTAAGAAAGACATAAGTAGTAGACATATGATTGCAATAAGGGTAAGTCGGCTGAGACGCCTTATAGAAGATAGCGCTTCGGTTTTTGATTTGATTTGTGGGGGCCATTCAGAGGAGTGCCAGTTTAGAATTAGATTTTGTAATCGAGATGAGGATTCTTTCCTGGGCTTAGAGGGAAAGGAACTCCGATGAGGGTGAGCCACTTTGAAGTGCGCCAACTCTGTTCGGATTAAGGTGCTCCCAGTTTTGGAGAGGAATTCTTCAAATGCCTTCAAGGTTTTTATTGCTTCCAGTCATTTTCTATTTACTTCACTGTTGCTCTTTAGTTCAACGTTTTTCTGCTTTTTTTCTTCAACTTTTTCTCGTATTATCCCCTTCGCGTTATGACTTGAGTCAAAATCCAAATCAATATTTCAAAAAGTGTAAAAATCCATGGGAAACAACCATCTCTATCGTCGTTCCACATGATGTTCCTTCGCTCCATTTTCCAGGGGGGGGGAGCGCGGTGGGGACGGGTTGTTTTGTTGAGCCTTGCCAATCCTCTTTGTATTCGCTCTCTTTCTCGAGCTAAAATTCCGAGCTACTCGGTGAAAAAGATTTAAATCAGCCTCCAGTCTCAAGAACCCACGAATCGAGTCTTCATTTGTTGTCTTTCAATACCTCCCAGATTTAATTCGTCTTTTTGGTGGTAATATGGCAAGCTTCATATTTTCTTCGCGGCCGTCTTGTCTTCGAGTCGATATTTTTAGGGCGTCGCCTTCATGAAGTGCTATGAGAAAAACCGAGCATGTCGTCAGGAGTGTTACTACAATATCGGGCGAATGTTCCATCAGCTGTCTTTAACTCCGTTAGCGATCCATTTCTATAACAAGGTGCGTTTATTTCCTCTAGAAATGACTGCACTGTAAATGAACGAAGGACAATGCGGTCAGAAAAACAACTAATTCTTCTCAATGTGAAGACTCATACAGAGTGATGATGTATTCGCGTGTCACTTGGAAAAGAGGAGAAACTCTAAGGAAAAATTCGAGAGCTGTCTCCCTGACATGCAGTCAGCCTTTGGTTCATTTTTTCGTCTTCTTTCGTTTTCTTACATACTCTAGAGTTCATAGGTGAGGAAATATTTATTTGTCCGGAAAGTTCTCTCAGCGTTTTGAGTGTTTCACTTTCAACGATCATAACTTGCTTAATACTCATCGGATTTAATCGCACCGTTCGAATCAGCACACTTTTGCCAATGTGACACCAGTCGATAAATCCCATCAAAAAAAACTGGGTGGTCGAGAATCACGAAATCCACGAAGGCTTTTTTGCCTGGTCCTGATTGATGAAGTATTTTCCAGCAAGGAAGTTCTGAAAATGTTTGAAAAGGTGATAGTCGGTTGGCGAAAGGTCTGAAGAATATGGCGGTTGAGGTAGAACTTCAACCCCCAATTCGTTCAATTTATGGATAGTGATTTGTGAAACGTGTGGGCGGGCGTTGTCATGCAAAAGAATCGGACCCTTTCTGTTGACAAGTGCTGGCTGCAGCTGACGCAATTTTCGGTACATTGCGTCGGTTTCTTCGCAGTAGGACTTCTGACCTGTGATGGTGGCCTGGCTGACGAAAGTTTATAGTGGATCACACCAGCCGATGACCACCACACCGTGACCATAATCTTTTTTTTTCGTGAGGATTCGGCTTTGGAAATTGCCTCGGTGGTTCTCGGCATCCAACCACTGTCCGGAACGTCTCCTGTTATCATACATGATCCATTTTTCATCACAGGTGACAATTCGGTTCAAAAACGGGTCGTTTCTGTTGCGCAAAAGCAGTGAAGAAGAAACCTCGAGACGTGCCAATTTCTGCCGGTCACTCAAATTGCGGGGCACCCACTTGTCGAGTTTTTCACCCTTCCCATGCGTTTCAGACCATCCGCAACAGTGGATTTGCCACGCCTAGTTTTCTGCAAGAACTGTTTGCGATGGGCAGCCTCCCAAAATCCCTTTAAAATCCTCGTCAAGCATATTGCCTTTTAGGTTCGCACCGCTATGGAGATCATCTCAAGGCTGAAACTCTCCAGAACTATTCATCTAGCACTATTGGGCCCCCACACCTGGTTAATTTGTTGAGCTGTTTCGATTGCGGATTGCCCCAATTTATAGTCGAAGAAAAAAATCGTCCGAAGTGCTCTTTTCACATGCTTGAAAAATCTTAAAAAAGGGGTTCATCAAGCAATGGTGAAACGGCAGTTATACCATCAGATAGCGCAAAGAATTCTCTTCAGGATGTACTACTGAGACGCAAGGGAGAATGAGTTCAAGCAATGAATGTACAAAAATCGTAACACAAAACGCTTAGAACTTTCGGACAAACTAAATAGCAAAGTCCTACCTCTACATTTCCTCCACCTTCTCTTTTTGGACTATGTAACTAGGAGCCCTTATGTCGCTGTCGGCTTCATAGTGACCATTCTCACAACCAGTTCTTGGCATATCGTCCAACAGAGTAAAACTACTATAGTATAATACCGTAATCGGTTACGTTTTGAAACTTAGTCTAGTTCCCCCTGCGACCACAATGAAGGGTTTGTATAGATAGATTTCCTGGTCCTCGCTTGGCTAGACGGATCTAAGGTATAGTGTGGTGCAGGGAATAAGTAGGGTATTTGCGTTCTGCTTGGCAATTAAAGAAAGGTGGCGCAAAAGTTTGAGTTGGTGCTATAGCCGGTCATCTGAGCAAGTTTTAAATAGAGTGTGATGCTTTTATCGTGACCTCTCGTGGGCATTCGATCAGTTTTGCTTTTAAGGTTCTTGCCGAGCCTCCACCTCTCGTTTTCTATACCGACGACGAAGGCCATGAGGTTGAGAGACCAAGTGATATGTGAGTTTCTGCTCAAAATTATTGTTTTTAGCCTTGATCGGAAAGAGGCCTGTGTTAACCGGTTTTCGTACTGCTGGAATGTTCCTCTTCATGCTTCAGGTATGATGTGCGTCGATTTGCTGCGCATAATCTTGCGCTCATTTACCGCGCGAGTGGTAACGACTACCTAGCTCGAAGGATTTATGAGAAGTTCCCTTGTTGTATGCATTTTAAATTAAGTCACGGTACTGTGTTTTACAGTGGAATTTGATCTCATGCTCATATGATCATCATTAACTCTTCTGAACGCTAATCTGTTCGTTTTTTTTTGTATCTGTTGATTTCGTTCCAACCACAGTGAGGAAGTCTGAACCAAACGTGTTGTTATTTTGAAAGTTAACTAATTATAACGCGCTTTTTTTTGATACGGAAATGATCGAGGTTGCAAGCGGCACTGCCTTCCCAAGACCAAGGGCGGGCAGATGAAATTCTTGCCTAAGGAGTGCGACAATGCTTGTGGTCTTATTGTTTACCACTGGTTCTTTTGTTGTTTTGACTAATGTCGTTGTTATATTTTCATCATCTTGTTACTCAAGTGCACTAGTAATATTTTCCATTTGTTGAACTACTGCTGTACAGTTGAATACGAATAAAAATTTCTCATATCTTTTCGTTTTAACCACCAACGGGTGTTCACTTCTACCTCTAATCGCGTGGCTATCGCCTGGAAGGTTCGCTTTGTAGATGGTTAAACAGCTTCCACACAGAGATGTTTGTTCTGGCATTGCTTGAGGACACAATAGCCATCAAACCGCACGAACTGGGGAAAGAACTTGGAGCTGTAAGTCATTGGAAGAGTACGCCATCATCAAAGCCGCTAAACATCCTGAAAACGTGGACTTAAGGTTCTGAGACGTTTTCGTATCAATCAACGGCTTTCGAACAAGGTCGTGCCGGATCTGGGATTGTGTATATGTGTATACGACCTTCTCGAAGTGGGTGTCACCTATATTTTACCAGGAGAGGGCAGTGGACACACGAGAGTGAAGGTATTTTTGAAATATTTGGCTTTCGAAATTCCTATCAAATTTGTCTGGTTGAAATGGCTGCGCGCTGCGAATCATTGGTTGGTTAAAAGTTCGATAACTGGTCCGAAAAAATGTACGATGAAGAAAGGTCCAACTAATAAGTCATCGTGGTCAGCGACGCACGTAACCCTTATGGGCCAATCCTTTTCGTCTGTAGTTCCTTAGTCTGGGCAAAATTGAGGGTGGGCCCGTGTTGAATAGGACAGATAGTACTCAACGAGTTTCGGTATAGGCGTGGAACATTACGTTTTTCAGGCTTTTGAAAACGACAAGATTGTTAGAAAAACGCAATCGTAAAATAGAAGGTTAACTAGAACCTTGTTTAGGCAAAAAAGAATGTTATCAAGTTCCTCACAAGGCTAAGTTTTAGCATTTTTTTTTCAACTTTTTGGGGTCACGCTAAGGTGATGAATTCCAACCTCTCCGCTTTTGACAGGTTGAATAGTTTCCGCTAAGCCAACATGATTGTGATCGGAATCCTAGTGCGTGGTCCATCCCAAAAAAAGATTGATCAGCGCAGAAAGCTTCCAGCTTCGCAGTGATTTGATAGTGCCGAAACCGATGTTCAGGTTTCTCTGGTACAGTCATTTTGAAGCCGTGCATTCCAGATCTCATGCTTGTTAAACCTGAACTAGCCTAGCTTGTAGCGCATAGGGATATAGGGAGCGTTTATCTGTGTAATGCGGCGATAAAGCGTTCTTTTGAAAACATTCAGAATTCTTAATACAACAGATTTAGGAATGGGATGAGTTTCAGTTCCGTTTGGTTGTGTTCCGTCCACATGTTGACGAGGTGATCCAGGCGCGTGTGGTCTCATCGAATAGTCTGGGTCTCACCCTTTCTACGGAATTCTTCGAAGACATCACAATCCCTGCTGAACGTCTTCCGGAGCCACATGTCTTCGAACAGAGTGAACAGGTACCAATATTGCCTCAATGGAGCTTTGGATTTTCCAGTGTTATTATTCTATTTTTTAAGTAATTTCTAATATATTTATCCTGGTGTTTGTTTTATTTTTGCTCCATTATTTACTTTTATTTTCCGTTTTCTACTTCTCTTTAACCGTCTTTTTTCTTTTATGTCTTTTTCCCCTTTGATGGCTTCTAAATGCTGCTTGTTATCTCAACTACTTCATCTAAACAATTGCAGCGGCTAATATATATTGTCAGCGATATAAATATGAAGTTTTAGCATTTTAGCAAGTATGTGTACAAAATGTTAGCTTTTAGCAAGTATGTGTACATAATGCAAAAAGCTGCCTCATGCTGGAATCGAACCAGCGACCTTCTGTTTACTAGACAGACGCTCTGCCCCTGAGCCAATGAGGCGGTGGAGTGCATGTGTCCGCACTCTCTGTTCAATCGGCGCAGAATTGCCCCTCCGTGTACCGAGCACTGCCATCACATTCCGCAGTTCATTGTTGATTTTCTGTATAATTTCAAAACTACGTGGTTTGACATGGAGAATATTTCTTTCTTTGCCATTTTTAGTCTTTATAGTACTGTTTAGATTTGGTACTGGGAATATCCATCAGAAGACGGAGAGCCTCCTGCTAAGCTCTACATGGACCCTGGTAAGACTGTGCGATTTCGAGTCGTGGAGAACATTTTTAGGTGAATCATGCTTATTATTTCCTCAATTATGCGAGCTTTTTTGGTAATCCGGGGTGCAGAAAGCTCGAAAATTCCTAACTACAGGCACTAAAGACCATGCGAAATTAAAATTTTGTCATCACTACTACTATTTCCGAGCGAAATAAAAATCAAGTACAATTTTTTCTATTGTTCTGGTCGCTTGAAAAGCTGTACCATAGCAGTTAGCTTAGTGACGTGGCAAGAACGCAGACAGCTGGCATTAGCGATGTGAAATGTTGATTACGTTACTTTTGCGTAGTTATTTTTGCGTGCCTGTTGAGAGAGTAATGCTTTTTATCAAGAGATAGTCAGGCAGTGATAGTCATGATCAAATTAGAGCATTAATATGAAGCATTCGCTTCCTTCTGCACTTCTTGTTGTAAGGATTGCGCGTCACTTTTGGCATTAGTGATCTTGAATCGTGCTCTGGTTGATAAAGAGCAGTGTTCGCAAAAGTTGTATCTATTAATATCCGATTCGTCGTCTCCCTAGCTTTGGTCCCGCGCGATCGCAAGGTTTTTCTTGTTAGACATTGTCTCTTGCTTCTATCCAAAGCGTCTTTGGTGGTGACCTTGACTTCAGTGAAGCCTTTGCTGCTGAGTCCTCCTTTTCACCTCAGGGCTCCTCGTGGTGACTTGTTAAGGGCGCTCGGTGCTTTGCTTATCGGGTAGTCATCAATTCTTCTAAGCTAGGGCCCGTGCACGGTAGTCGCTGCTGCCATGCATTTACTCGGATAGGAGCCATCTACATTACTGCCCTTACACCCTCGTTTCTGAATCTATATTCCGGTTCCAATCATAGGCTCATCTCAGCAGTGTGGCTGCCCCCGGGTCGGACAGTGTTTTAGCCGAATCTACTATACTGACAGAAAATTTCGGGTCAAATGTGGCCTGAATTCCGAAGGGTAGAGCGGTGGTGAATAAATAGTGCCCCGTCTTGTGGAAACTGTGTTACGCGCTGATTCATTTCAGAGACGTCAAGCCAAATTTGACACCAGAAGAGGCACAAAAAGAAAAGTCGTATGAAATCATCGGCACAATGGCTGAAACAGGTCTCGGATGTGTAGCTTGGTGGTCAGCAGCAGGTGAAGATGATGCAGCCGAAGAACCGGATGACATGGATGAGGAGTAGCTCCCAGATCCTTGGAGGCATAGCTTACGAGTTGCTTGTGAAAATTCAGTTCTTTATTTTTTGTAGTTGTTTGAATTTGCATCCATGTGTCTGTGATATGATTCACCTTGAAAGGTGCATATGATCTTCTGAAGCCTTCTTCAGCCGTTGTTTGTTCTCGTTTTCAATTGTTATTATTTCCTTTGTTACGTTATGCTGCTCTGTTAAGCATAAATTTTGAACTTTTTTTCAATTTTAATTTTCAGACTATAACAAGGTAGTTTAACTTCTCTCGAACCGTTAGATTTCTCAGCTCTTTGAAATTATCTTGAGATTACAACGAAACTACCTTCTATTGTAGTAATATTGGACATCACACGATAGAAACTGGTAATTTTTTTTAAAATATTTACTTGCAGTAAAGTCAAGAATTATGCTACCGGTTATATAAGAGAAAATAATATCAAAGACCATTCAGAACACTGTTATTTAAAGAAGGCAGTAGAAGAATTATGATTACACGGCAACATGAACCTTCGAACTGGCATATCCCCTTGACGTTGGTCACTGTTCGCGTCCCTGTGGTATCGACGATACCTAACTTCAGTGATCGCTGGCGTAAGCGCAAAGTATGGACGCGGCCTTAGATGCGTATCGGTCGGGAGAGTCAGCGGATTGCACGGACGAAGCTGGCGCTTCATCCGCTCCCCCATTCTTACTTGGGCGGAGTCAGCGAAATAGATACATGTACACTTTTCCTCGAGTTTATGTCGGATCCGTCGGGGTGTGGTTAGAGCATGTCCTGGTCGATACCTCCCTATTTCTTTTCACCTCTTCTCCGATTCGTCAGGGTCGCAAACAGTGAACAATGCCTTATCGGGAAAGATGAGCCATTGGCAAATTAGCGCCGGGTCAAATGGATCACAAAAAATGGGTGTCTGGAACAATGAAACCCTTCTAAGCTTTTCACCGCTGACATTGTAATGTAAGAACGTGGGTGGGGTCAGGTCTACTGTTGTGCTCGCCCCCTAAATATGCTCTAGTTCGCTGCGGATGAAGGGGCGTGTCAGGCAGTATGAGTGTGCCACGGCGCCAAACCTTTCTCTGCCTATTGTTGAAGCAGATATGCTGCAACGCTTGGTAGAAAATGAGTGATAGGAACGAATGGTACAGTCTTGTCACTTGTTCGCTTCCAACTTGTGGAGAACGGTTTGGCACCGTGCAAAACTCATTCCGCCAGACACGCCACTTCGTCTGCAGTGAAATAGACTATACTTCCCTATGAAGCTGTCAAGGTTAAGAAGAGGGCCTGACCTCGCCCACACCATCAGGGTGACCTACGCACATGAGTCAAATAAGACACTTTTAGAGATTTGGTCTCCCTCTGCCACTTAACGGTATCAGCAAATTTTCTACGATATCCGCAATGGCATTCTTTACAGTCTTCGTGGCTTGGGGTTGTTCCCTTTGTTGTGACGCTGTTTTGCTCGATGGTAATTTAACGAGTCTTCCTCTTGTCCTCTTTCGAGAGTTCCTCCATGTCATATGTTCTTTGTGTAAAGGCCGAGCTTGCACTGTGCTGAACTTTTCAGAATTGGCAATTTTGCCAGCCGGAGGCTTTCTGCTTCCGATTCTTACTTGCTTTGGCAGCGAGGCTTTCTTATTCACAGTATTCCGCTGTCCGCGTGACCATGCTCTTTGTGGCCTTGGTTTCACCGCCTCGATAGTTTCATCTCCGTACGAGTTGACCACGGGAGGACTGGTAGGTTCTTTGAAGGTGATGCTCAAATTGACAAAAGGCTTACGGCTTGATGTGGGCTCCGATGTCCCTGCTGTAGTGAGGATTGTTGTGGATTCTTCCGTAGTAACAGTTTGGCGGGCGACAGAAGTGGTAGATCCTTCTGGAGGCCGACGAGAAGTTGAGCTCAGAGTTGTGATTCTTCTTGCTCTTCTCTGGAGTTTTTCTCTGTGGTGTACCTGACAGAAGATGTGGTTGTTGTATCAGTAGACGATGTTGTCGTGGGAATAGTGGGGGTTGTGGAAGCAGGCTTCCGAGTGCTGCTTGGGGAAGTGGTCTTGGTAGTCGTACTAGTTACTGATGTAGTACCTGACGTTGCAGACGTTGTTTTATCTAGACTAGAGGTAGTAGACTTCAGATGAGTTGTCGACTCCGGAAAGGGTACTGTAGATGTAGAAGTGTGCGTCAGAGGAGTAGGAGTGGTTGTGGTTGTTGAAGACGTAGAGGTAAACAATACTAGTGTCGCCGTGACAGTAGAAGAAGAGTAAGGCGTGAAAACCGCTGAAGCGTAAGTCACCGCCTCAGGCGTGCTCGGGCTGAGGGTTGGAGGCTTTGCCACTTCCTCTTTTGCCATGCTTACTCCTGCTGGAGGAGTAGGTAACAAGTATGCTCCGTTTGGAGGCTCGGTTGACCCAACTCCTTTATTCTTTGGAAATACTGGCTCTGGAGGGAACGGTATCACGTATGCTCCACCTGGAGAGCCAGCCTTGTAAAACACTTCAGCTACCTTCACATCGGTGACCAAGAGGTCATCTTCAGGTGGTGTCTTCTCGCTGCTTGGTGGTGATGGGGTCGTCTTATCGCTAGTCAAAGGTGGTAGCGGCTTATTCTTTGAATTTTGTGCCTTGTACTGGTCAATGATGTACTGATCACAGAGCAGATGCGTCATCCGAATGTTGTTTTCTGGGAGCGTCCAACTTCCATTTTTGCAATGAATCTGTAATTGAGTAAAGTTATTTTATGGTATCAAAATGAAACCTGTACAGAAATTCTTGAGGTGAGCATAACAACGAAGCTCATGCGTCGCTACCTCTACAACGGCGGAGACCTTGTAGGTACAACCATCAAATTAATGGAGTAAAAATATTAGATTGTTCGAAAAGTCCTGCGACACTTTG